TAAATATCATACGATGAAGGAACATACCAGATAAGGAACCTCATGGTTTCCCTGTTGTCTTGCACCAAACAAAAGTGCTGCGCATCGCCTTTGATGGTGTCTCAGTTCATTCAAGTCATAACGTTTAACCGTATTTTGTGCTATTTTAATTGATCTTTTCTGCTGTGTTGCTTGACGCTTCGGCTCCATCATGACCTCATCTAAACGATTTCTTTCCCGTTCGATTTCCCCTTCGATTTTCTGAAAAAAGGAAAGCATTAATATTGTCGCCCGTCAGTTACCTGCTTTATTTAAACCCTTAACGAGGGACTGATATAATACTATTCTAATGACCAATAATAATACTAATACCACAATAAATACTCTGTATACCATTATACTATACACTATATAATGACTGATAATGATACAAGTGAGTAATGGTTGTACCTTACGATAGTGATCACCATACGTCATCTGTGCATACTTGTCGTCATAGGAAGACRCAGTCTTTCCAAGCATGTGATAACCACCCGAGAAATGTCGTCCCTAGAAGTATACAAAAAGGTGGCCGTGATTTTGAGTTTAATGGAAGAAACTATATTTGAACTTAATATGTTACAAATTTGATGAAGTGAAGATGAACTTGAGCATTAAAGGGAGGTAAACCGTAATGAATTTAAAAACACTTAAAATAATGCTGCAAATGCATTAACCATGGATAGTTGGCTCCATAGTTCCCATTTCAACCCGCAACTGGTGCGGCAAAGTAAAAAATAAAGAATAATAATAATAATACAAATAAAAACAGATCCTGTTTGGAARCCTTGATAGTAAGATCGGGAGAACATTTTCATAAGTTGATTGAGGTTAAGAAAGCGCATGACGTCCCCGTCGCAGGACAAATAAAACTGAGCAGTAGCGTGTACTGCCAACATGATGACAAACGTTTTCTTTGTTTTTGAGTAAAGACTATCAAACAATTCGGAAAAGTTTACTTGATCAGTCTATGTAACAAAAAGATATKAGTCTGGAATCAGTCTGGTCTGGAATAAACATGCCTGAGAGATGCCACAAAAATGATGCACCCATTCTGGAATATACTTGCCAAAACTGAAAATCTAAGTATTACAGTTTTTAACTTCGTTGAAGTATAGTATCATTCTGCTAAACAAAGTCAAATTAAAACCTACCAAAACCCTATATACGTGCCAGAGTACTCGGCTTTGATAGGAAAATTTATCATTTCCTCTAATAAAGTCAAAACCTGCTATAAGTACTACGTGCCAGAGTATTCAGCTTTAAGGGAAAATATCAATGAATTGGCAAGTCAATTATTTAGTTTATCAACTCAATTTGAACATCGGTTGTTAAGCTAATGTTAACTGTACACAAATGACTTCCACYTCTATGGTTTGACTCACCGGTTGTTTCTTCGGTACAGGGAGGATGTCCTCTAGTCTCATACCATCCATTTTCCAAAACATCTTTGCTTCTCTTCTCTTTCAAGTGCCTTGCCTTTGGTTATAATTCACATATCATTCTAACAGGATGAGCATGGCAGCCATGATACATAGGTCCGGCAATTATTGTTGGTCACGCATTTCGCATCATTTCATTAAGTATCTCAAAAGTCCCATGAGACGTGGTTGTCGACTGATTGGTGTTTTGCTGAATACGGGTTTTTATAGTCCATTATACAGGGATTATGTGGACTATTGTGTTGAGTAAGTGAATATAGTTGAATTTAACGAGCATATATTGATTAATTAAGTACATTAGTGAGACACATTTCTTGTAAGATGTGGCAGCTCTTTCAGTTCTACATCTTTTAAAAAAAGTACTATGTACAACTAGTTTCAATTGAGAACCTTTTCATTACATTGAACATTTTCGTTTGTGAAGCCATGTCACAGAAGACCATAGAAGAGATCATAGAAGCCTTTGTACGTACCTCTCAATTTTACTCTTTCTCTTCCTAAAAAAAAAGGAATAATATCCAAAAAGAATTTTAAAAGGTGATCAGGTTGGCTCAAGATGTTGGAGCAGGTAAATTGGAGCTGATAAAGGTCTAAACTAGGTCTTGCATATGCCACATATGCATCCAGTGATCGCACACAGTTGGAATACTCTAATGCATGTCATGTCGTTAGTATTTGCAAGCTGCATCTATCCCCGGCTTCTTACCAGCACCGGCATTTCAGTAAATCTTGCTGTGGTCTCGGTTTGTTATTGTCATACTTTTYTYYTYTTTTTTCCGATTASAGTCGAACCTCTATCAAGCGGCCYTCTATTTAGCGGTCACCCTTTATTAAGCGGACGCGGTCACCTTTTTGACTTTCCAAATTGCTAATTTTCATTGTAATTCGCCCGTTTATTAAACGGTCACCTCTTGTCTTGTGAAAGCACCATCACGGGTTGACTCTGAGGACGACTTCGACCCTGAACTTAAGCATCCAGAAATTAACACAGTTTCAAAGGCAGAAGAAGTGAACGAAAAGTTAGAGCAATTTTCCCAGTTCTATGGTCACGAAGAACCCAGTCACTGGCGCTAAGCCAAGKTAGTGATTCACTTCGACAAATCAAGCTGCAGAATGCCAAAACCCAGAAGACCATAATCGATTTTTTTCATTTATACTGTATTTTTTACCATTGGTATTCTACTTTATTTACTGCTGTATTTTTATATAGATGCAATACTGAACCTCGTATTTCGCGTTATTGTTGCTGTTCATAATTAAAAGTACATTACGTGATCGATTTCGTGTTTTACTGTAGTTCACTGTTTGCCACATAAAATGCTAATATTTAAGCGGTCATCCTCTATTAAGCGGCCACCCCTGAGGAAACACCAGGTGACCGCTAATAGAGGTTCGACTGTATATACTCTAACAGCAGTACATCGATAGTAGCTGCTGAGTAAAACACATGCCTAAATGTTGCTGGTGTGAGCTTGGACGTTTATAAATGTAAAAAAAAATGAGTCCGCCAATAAACTTCGTACCTCTATTCTATGGTGTGACCACCTTCTTTCAAGTCAAGGATTGATTACTGGGATCTTGACTTGGAACAATTGTCAGTTTTCTGGTGACGGAAGCGAGGTCGAAAGAAAGTCATCAAGACCTCTTTTGGCAACGAATAAGAAAAGCCGGACAAAAGAACAGCTCTTGACCTTTGTGTCCACGCAAATCAACCGTGAGTAGTAAAGCATTATGCAAAAAAATAAGTACCGCTCAAACCTTCAAATTTGCATCAATAATCTTAACAAACTGGATGGTTCACTGAACAACTTCTGAACAYAAACTAAGAATTGTCTTCCTGAAGTGGATTTCTTCATTAGAATTTCTTAKAACAGCAAAGGCCCAACGGTTTCTTGTAAAGTAAACAAGATYATTTTCAAATCTAAAGCACAAATCTGAGCTTTGTGAAAGTTTGGGTCTGGCAACATATTAGGCGCCAACACTTTGAACCTCAGATATGCACGTTCCGTTKAATGATCAAGGGGAACAGAAGAGAAAAATTGTCAAAAAATATCCTCGATGGCATCCTGGATGCTCAGTTAGATTCTAAAGAACTGATTTCAAGCGAGAAAGTTGTGAATGATCCAGCTCAGCTGAAGCTAAAAGAGAATTTGCCAACATATCATCAAAGGAGTGACTACTTTACAGTTCAACTGGAACCAACTTCTTTGAGAGGATTTTTGCATGTTTAGCCAAACTTTTGAGCAAGCCTTTCTAAAGTGAAAATTCATTAAAGATGAGTGGAACTACAATAATACCGACCACTGTCAGCCTAAACAGTACAGTACAACCTACTAATTCCACAATTATAGGTAAGCTAGGAAACTTAGAACTGTTTGCCATAGTGTGAATGTGAAGTCAATGGAACCGGTTGGATGGGCACTTGCTAAATCACAGATATCATTACTCGGGTAAAACTCTTGCTTATATTCATCAAAAATATCCAAAATAACCCTCCTTTATATTAGCATACCGTATTGCATTTCTACGAGGCTTGTTACCTTGAGTTATTATTATAATACATATATATTGTTTTTATTTTCAAGATATGCATCGCTAAATTAAAATATGCGACATTCTTGCCCTCATTTGAACAGTGAATCTTAACGGTCAGATCTCGTTGGTTCTTTCACCATGGTAACATGGACGTCCTCAGCTACTGTCAATATTTGCAAACACATATATGAATGTAATGTTGACTTAAAATAAAACAGGAACAATCAGTTTTTCACCTGCAATTATAATCTTTGACTAGTTTTGCACAGCTTTCTTCTTAAATTCCGTGTTTTACAACGTTAGTAATCCCTATGAATTCCCATGTGTAAGGTAAGTCGATAGAGACTAGCTAGTGAAGAAGATCCGTAAAGTCACTGAACAGCTAGGCTATAACGAAACAAATGACTTCTTTTTTGTACAATTGCCTTYCGCGAATAGAATATTATTAGATGCTTTCCGTCCGAGGAATAGATCGATGAAACGATTTCTTTAGAGAACCCTTTAGTACCGTCCTAGGCTCACCATGATAATCAGTGAGTGAATATTGTTGAGACATTAGAAGACAAAAAACTRTTGGTGCCCAGTACATCAGGTGTTTGTGCAAAATTGTTTGTTTGATTATCATTTTGATTCGCGTTTTTTYCCGAGCTTCGTTCTTTTGTAACTTTTTCGCTCATTCCTTTTACTTTTTTATATGCCCTTGAAATCAAAAACGTTTGAACCCTCACCATATAGCAGCATTAATTTACACGGAGAACTGACCATGTGGGTGATTGACAGCCGGTTTGTTCACTTAACGTCGGTCGATGTCAAAACAGCCACGTATATTATGTCGTGGATTTAGAAAAATATACCAATAATATAAATACATGAGTTTGAGCACAGAGAACGAACACGGCAAGCATGGTCTGGTTCGCCCCGCCCGGCTAGGTTAAAATCATTATTACGACTATGTCGGCSTCTCTCCATCAGTCATTTGCTCGGTGCAAATGTGTGGCAAATCCTGCGGGTGTGGGAATTTTTTTCAGGTGAAAAAGATACATGTTTTCTTACAGCCTGCCGAATCAGGGTCAAATGAAGGGCCTTAGAAAATTTCATTTCATTATTTTGTCAGTTCTCGTTTATGATTGGTTCAGTACGATAATCAAACCATTCGGTAAGACCTGATTAATGTCATCCAACATTTTTTCTCTTTTTCTTCAGCTGGCCTGGCGCACAAAGCGTTTTCATATGTGACAGGTAGTACGACAGGAATCATCGTGGGTGTAATCATACTGATTCTACTCATCATTATCGTTATAACACTGATACGAGTAGCATTGAAAGGTCTCAAGCAGGCCAAGGAAAGAGCGCTKAGCAAGTTAAACGATCTCAGGAAAAGTCGAGAACAAGCGTTAAATATGATAGATGCTGTACCGGAAGTTAATGTATCTACTGTGCAGCCARCCGGAAGTAGAAGGGAATTGGTGAGTTTAACGAGAATTGTCGGAATGAGGAAGCTAAATATTATGAAACCAGTGATATGCATGCAGGTTAAACAAATCTGTGATGTACGTTTGGCTGGGGAGAACGCATGGAGCATATCAAATTTTCACGTGCAGAACTGAACTAAAATTAAACAAATGATAATTTTTTTCTTTTCAAGAAAAATCTAGGGGAAATCAAGTTTTCATTGCGTTATGACGAAGAAAGGTAAGGAATGTCTTCGTTAGCTGTTAATTTGAAAATCTGAAAAGTTTGGAGCATATTTGCAGGAATTATAGTTTGCACACAGAGAGCAAGTGAAGAGGCCCTCAGCCGGCTAACGGCTATTAGGTTCAACCATCATAAGTTATTGGAAGTTAGTTAGGCTATAGCTGAGGAACACACCTTTTCCAGACACGTTGTAAGCTCTCATTATTACCTTACAGCAATGACCTTGTTGTGACAGTAMACGAATGTAAAGACTTACCAGTCAAGTACAGTGGAGGAACAATGTACAAGTACGTGGAGATAGAAATGTTTCCATTCCATAGAATGAYGTCCAACAAACCCAGGACTAGATACATCAGGAACGACTTCTCGCCAACATTTGAAGAAGAGGTACATTAAAATATATGATACTGCCTGTAACATGTATAGGGTCTTTCTCGGCACTAGCACTAGCACTAGCATTAGTATTAGTATTAGTATTAGTATTAGTATGGGTATGAGTATATGGGTATACGACTCAGTTTAGGCTTAACTTCCGTCGCGATGAAGTTTTCACGATAAGTAGGACTACTTTTTACTCGTGCGACCGAAACTTGTGTCGCAAAATATTTTATGGGCGAAAAATTGCGCCGTGTAACACCCCCGTGAAAATAGTTTAGCAACACCATTACAAGCAAGTTTTAAATAAAAGTTTCCTCGTGTAACAGCTTTTTTCATTTTTTTATTAGGCTGCGTTCATAATGTATGGCAG